AGTTTAAAACATCACAATCAAAATAAATCATTAACGAAGAAAATATTCATTCTCATTTAGTGCTAATAGTTTTTTTAATGTATTTAAGTGGGATTTAAAGAATTCTCATTCTAGTCCGGAATGTGTGGTGGTTTGGGTTTTGTTTTGTTTGGCTCCCGGGAAAATGGAGTTAATTTCAAGTTAGTCCCTATTGTTTTGTTATTTGTTAATTAGTGATCTTCCCTACTTTTAGTAAAATTTAAAATTTCTTCATGTTCCTTGTCGTATGTTAAGGAATGTTAACAACATTTTCTCTTTCACTCTTGCACTTCTTCTAATAGTGTGTAAAGACCCAAAAAAAAAAAAAAAAAAAAGAAAAAAAAAAGGGTGCAAGTTTTTTAATTTATATTAATAAAAGAGTTTCTAGTTTGGTTCTTATTCACACTCAAAATTAGGGGTGATCAGTTCGAGTACCCTACATTTTTCAAGGAAACCAGAACCGAAACCGCACAGTGGAGGTTCCCAAAAAAAGGAACCGGAACCGGAACTAAAATCAGAACTGCACAAGTAGGTTCCCAAAAAAAAAAGGAACTGGAACCAGAACCGCATAATGCAGTGTGGTTCTTAAATTCAAGGAACCAGAACCTAAAATGCAGGTTTCGATTCCTTCCCCTGGTACCCTATAAAAAATCAATTACCTCCTATTAGTTTAAAAAATGACAAAAATGCATAAGTTTATAATACACTCCTAACAAATTTTGTACTCATTAATTTGTGTTCAATGTGACTCATAAATCCTCTAATATCTAGACAACACTTGAATTCAATCGATTCATCACAATTCGCATAAAATTCCTCAATCAAAACTAAAATATAAATAACTAATTAAACAATCATACTATAAATCTTATAATTTAATATTATAATTAATTAAATTTCTAATCATTTAATTAAGTATTGTACTAAGTGTATAATGAAATATTATAATTAATTAAGTAATCATTTAACTATTTAATGTTATAATTAATTAAGGATTATATTATAATGTAATGTTATTATTAATTCAGCAATTATTTAGTTATAATTATTTAATTTCTAATCATTTAATAAGTATTGTACTATTGTTATAATGGAATGTTATAATTAATTAAGTAATCATACTTTAAATTATAATGTAATGATATAATGAATTAAGTAATCCTACTATAAATCTTTATATATTATATTATAATTAAATTTCTAATCATTTAATTAAGTATTGTACTAAGTAGTAAATTATTAATATTTATAATATAATGTCATAATTAGTTAAATAATCATTTAATTATGTAATATTATAATTAATTATATAATAATTATAATGAATTAAGTAATCATACTATAAACTTTAATATAATATTATAATAATTAAATTTTAATAATTTAATTAAGTATTGTACTAATGGTATAATGAAATGTTATAATTAATTAAGTAATTATTGTCTATAATGTAATGTTATAATTAATTAGTAATCATACTATAAATTATAATGTAATGTTATATAATTAAATTTCTAATTATTTAATAGGTATTGTACTAATGTAGTAAATTATTAATGTTTATAATATAATGTCATAATTAGTTAAATAATTATTTAATTTATGATCATACTATAATATAATGTTATAATGAATTAAGTAATTATACTATAATCTTTAATGTAATTTATAATTAATTAAAATTTTAATAATTTATTTTTAGTATTGTACTAATATTTATAATGAAATGTTATAATTAATTAAGTAATCATTTAACTATAATGTAATGTTATAATTAATCAAGTAATTATTTAAGTAATAATGTATTAATGTTTATCAATTTATTTTATATAATTAATTAATTACTAATTTATTACATATATACTTAGAACTTGATAATTGAAATAAATAACTAAATATTATATTACTATTCAATCAAATATACTATTCTATTCAAAAATAAATTTTTTTTAATAACATTAAAATACTTTTAATTGGTTTTAATTTAAATTATAAACTTAATTAATCAAAACTTTAATATTAATATATTATAATATATTAAAGTTTTTTATATGGTGTAGTTTATATGTAATAAGTATAATTGTATATTTATTTAATTAGGTTATTGTAAAAATTTAACTTTTTCCATTTTAATTTTTTTATATGTAAAATTACAATAGACCCTCCATTCTTCACATATATTTTATTTCAGCCCAGGTTCCAAAACAGGGTAACCGTTGTAGGTTCCAAGCCGGGTACTAGTTGCAGGTTCTTTTTTCTAGGTTCTGGTTCCTCTACATGTAGGAACGGGAACGGGAACTGCACAGTGTCGGTTCTAAAAAAAGGGAACCAGAACCTACTCGCACAGTGTCGGTTCCGGTTCTATCCACTACCCGTGCTCACCCCTACTCAAAATAAAAGTTAAAGGGTGACAAAGGGTGAGAAAGAGTGTTACAATTATTCTCAAATAAGGTAAGCTTGACAAAATCCAAGGGCCGACGTGGAGAACCTTACCTCTAATCTCAATCCTATTAAAACACATTTACATTTGCACCTCAACTTCAACTCTAATCTCGATTCTGAATTTGTAAGGTGGAATCAAGTAATCTCTTAAGGTTGCGTTTGGTTAGGGGTCTAGGAAGATTACTCTAGTAATCTATCTTTGATTTCGGACATTAATTTGTTTGGTTGTCAAGTAATAAAAGATTTTGGTAATCTTTCAATATCAATAGTAGTTACTGTAGGTAATATAAGAGATAGTCAAATTACTGACCAGTGGGATGTTATTAAAAGATAACTGAGATAATCCACTGTTCATACCAATTTTACCCTCAATTAAAAAACATTTCGTACAGAAATGCCCTCATATGTCTACCAAATAACAATTAGCCCAATTGTACAAAATGACTTCTGCAACCTCATAAATTATTTTTTTGGATAGAAATGCCCCTCATTTTACATAAATTAATCTTAATTTTGTTCTTATTTTACCCCCTAGTAATAAAATATTTGGATAGTAATGCCCTTATTCTGAAAACCATTTACATGAAAACCACCCAAAACACCCTAGCCATTGAAGACTGTCGATCGTTAGCCACCATCGTCGATCGTGATCGGTAGTCGTCGAAACGATGCACACTTGACTGGATCTGGTCGGCCGTGCTGATCTGGTCGTTTATTTTTGGCTAGATCCACGGATTTGGATGTGGATCTAGCCGAAAAGGCGATGGATCTAGCTGTCGTTTCCGACCATAATGTCGAGAGCAGCTAAATGGGAGCCATAAGAGAATTCAAAAAATTTCCTAGTCTGCTTCTGGATGAGGTCCAAAGGCGAAGACAAGGGGAAGCCAGGGAGAATGAAGCCATTTCTCCCTTTAGAGGTAGTAGACCACCAACAGCAGCTTCCAAGAGTCACTTTGAGGAAAACCAGCTCAAGTCAACCAGTCCACTGAGGATCTTTGGCTTACTGTGACTGTCCTTCCTTATAGTCCAAGTGCCAACATCAAAAGCTGCCTTAACCACCCATAACAAATCACCTAAGGCCAAGAGTGATTCCAAAGAAGCAAATTTAAATTAATTAATGTAAAATTTCTGCTTGCAATACCACTACCTCATAGAAATTAACCCTTGTCCCCAAAATCACTTTCTCGTTTGTTTGCAAGCAAGCAAACCAATCAGTACCAAGTAGTGGCTTCCATTATGCTTCTTTGAGCCGTTTGACAACAAACTCACCACATGTAGGAAACCATTCCTCACAAGCATTTCATCAAACATGATGCATAAAATGCCTTTAACAAACCCAGAATGAATGTATGAAAACACAAAAACTACACAATTTTAACAGATAATTAGCACAAGAAAAATTCTCTTCTTTACCTGTTAATGGAGTCGGTTATGTTGTCTGGGATAAATGCACCACTCTTTGAGACACCTCCAAAAAGTTTTTAGCTTCTGCAACGATTTTATCAACTTCTGACATCCAGCTTTGAACATCAGTTTCTACAATTTCTAATGAAACAATTTCCATGGATGAAAAGAAGGAAGAGTACTGTATCGAAGAACAAAAGAGCCAGAAATGTTGAAGTGGTTGCAGAGTTTCAGCTTTTCCCAATCTCTTTCACAGCAAAGCAGTTCATTAATCCTTCTTCTTCTTCTTCCTCTACAGAGCATTGACAAATTCACACTAGTTCGGAATTGTAGAAGCTGAGTATCAAATTTTAATTATTAAAATATCCTTAAAAATTAATAAATTATAAAATAACTATTTATATAACTAATTACTTAATTTGATTAATAATTAATAATTGAATCATGGTTCGTTCCTGTAGGAATGCAGGTGAAATCAGAATGAAAAAGTTGGGAAAGGAGACACATGGGCCCCTCATATAATATAGTAAATAAAATAATCCTTTCTTAACACAATATCAATGTTTTAAAAATCGACCCGGGACAAAACCCGACAAGATGATCGGGTCTCGGATTGACCGGTTTAACCGGTTGAACCTTTGATTCAACCGGTGATGTTATCATGCTGACGTCATTAAAATAATGTTCACAAAATCCACTGATTTCCCAAATTGTAAAATATTTTTTTATATAATTAAGTAACAATGAGCTCAAGAAATGATTTCAACCTAGAAGTTAAGTACAATACATAAAAAGCATATGCTTTATACAAATTCAATATCATAGATTAGATAATATGTATGGATTATAGAACCCAAACAAAAATGATGCTGTAAAGCATTTGATATTTTAGGCTTATGATTTTCTAAGCTTGAGAGAATCAAAACAAGCAGCAAGATCATCTTAATCTAGTAATTTAGGATGAATGCGATGAACTGAATCCTGTTTACCAAGAGTTGAAGGTACTGGCGGTGGAGGTCGCTCAGGTGGTTGATAAATGCTGGCAGGAGGTTCTTCCATTTCGATTTTTTTCATCACATTCAGATTCATCAAACTTTACATCTGAATGTGCAGAAGGAGAATTGTAGCTGTGCCTTTTATACTTTATAGACATTTCCACCTTCAGTATGGGTAGGCCTCCTCTCCTCGTGGCTAAGATAATGAGACCTATCAAAACTCTGTGATTTAAACACTGTAGCTGTGACAGTTACCTGCTGGTGAAGATGAGCTGCCATTCGTTGACCGTCAGGGAGGTGGAGCTCGGTTGTGAACAGGGCAAGTGGGCAACTATGAAGAGCTGAGTCCTGAGATTCAAGCAATGTGAAGAAGAGTGTGTGCAGCTCCGAGATTGAGATCGACTGTGCACTGTGTAGCTCCAAGAAGAATGACAATGATGGATTATGGCGTAGATCTGCAGTGATGATGAGCGGTATCCCAGCTGACGACGAAGCAAGCCATTGACGGTGAAGGCTGCAGCGACGAGTTTCGACGGTGAAGGGAAGACTCTGGCAGTAATTTTCAGAGTTCAATGAAGCTTCAGACTTTCAGAGCAAAGGGTGGGAAATGGCCGTGAAAAAATTGGGGGGGGGGGGGGGGGGGGGGGGGGGGAATGAGGGAAATGTTGATATTGGGATTTGGGAGTTTACTGTTCATTAATATAATTAATAATTAAAACTTTAATTATTTTATATTTTATATAGTTAAGTTGTTAACCCGGATTTTTTAAAATGGACGGTTGGACCGGTGGATGCTACAGGTGAATGGTCCAACCGCAGGCGTTAAAGGGAGAATAAAAATGGCGGTTTTGAGGCTCACCTAGCCGGTCACTAGCCGGGTCTCGGTTTAACCGGTTCAACCGGCCGAGCCGGGCTGGGTTTTAAAACATGCACAATATTCAAACAAAAATCAATAAAATATGTCTTATTGTTTTTTAAAGCATATATCTATTTTAAAAAAAAATTTACAAACCACTTGAGTGACTTATATATATATATATAAACAACTTATAATGTCCTATTTTAAATTTAAGAAGTATTTAAAAACTATTTATTTTATAATTTTAACTAAACTAATGTTTGTGAAAATTTATGCAAATCAATTTATCACAATGGAGGCATATTCATTTATATAAATAAATAACTTTAGAAAATTATATATTGTTTACATGGGATTGAGTGTATTGAAAAATATCTCATGTGAATCCAATAAACAACTATTTGAATTTAAATATCTTTCGCAAACCTCGACGGTATGAGGGAGATTTTATTAATTGAAAAAAAAGATGACACCTATACAGAGGGGGACGTAAGAGCCTTACCTCTAAAAAAAGACTAAATACAATAAACTAAAATGGAGAAAAATGATTACGCATGAATTACAAAGAATAAATATAAAGCTTTTACACACACACCTTAATGTTATATATATAATATATATATATATATATATATATATATATAGAGAGAGAGAGAGAGAGAGAGAGAGTCATATGAATGATAGAGCAAATCAATATATTAATTCACCTCAATATCTTTCACAAGAAGTAGTTAATTAATTCATCCTTATCCTTCTTCTTCTTCCTCTTCCTCTAGAGATCATTAACAAACTCTGGTTATTAATAAACATGTAAAAGATCAATAGATAACATACTATATATCCAACAAACTCTAAGTAACACATGATTCATATCTTTTTCACTATAAACTTTCAACTGATCTTCATTTTGGATTGTTGTAGTTTATAAAATAACTTCTAATTCTACAAATTGAAGGTGTTTATCAAAATATATTGAAAAGTGATTATGTACATTAGGAAGGATTTTCAAATAAAAATTTATTATGTAAATAATAATTACTAAAATACCCTAAAAATCAATATTAGGTATAAACTATTTTTTTTATGTTAATAATTATTTATTTTAATTGATAATTAAATATTAGCTTTATTTAAAAAAAAAAAAAATAACACTATCCAACAAGATTGAATTTTTTCCTGTCTTCCATAGCAAAACACCACTTTCACTATTCATTATGCCAACATCATTGAATATATTACCTTTTGACTATTGCAACGGTACCATTGAAGTTGGTGGGTGAGCGACGAACAATCACCAAAGCCATGAATTACAAAGAATAAATATAAAAGCTTTTACACACACCATTAATGTTTCTAATGAATATATACACAATCATATGAATAATCAAGCAAATCAAATCATCCCGATTTCTTGTGTTGTCAATAATACTGAATAAATAAAATAATTAAACATGATTCATACCATTTTCACTCTCTAATTTAAACCGATCCTCCTGCTTGATTCACCTACAAAAACAATAAGTTTATTTATAATAGACACCTCTTCAATTTTATTATTTAAATTGTATAATTTCAAATATAGAATATGAAAAATTATCACACACTTAAAACAATGAGATTTATTATTTAAAATGTATAATTTGTTTAAAAAAAATGAAATGAAAACAATATTCACATAATAAATTGAACTTATTATAATTTTATTAAGAAAAGAAACAAAATTATTTATTAGGATTAAGAGATTTTAAAAAAATAATAAAAACAATTTTTCTGTATAATTGATATGATACAAGATCAATAACAGATTGCATATAAAAAGTTAAAAACATTACCAATGGGTGTTGGGTTGGGAAACTCTTGGCAACAAGCTTTTGATATGCTAGGCATGAATGTTGACAAGGTTATTCATTAAATCTCAAACCTTAAAACAATAGGGTTACTCAGTTGAATTGAATGTCATATTAATTATATACATTTAATTGACATAAAGTGCATGAATGAGAAGATCATCAATGGAAAATGATAAAACTTTACAAAATTAATTAGAAGATGTAACTCTTTCATCATTAAGTACATACCTGTTCTCTGTAAAACTCTTGCATTGTGGCATTCAAGTTGTCATTCCAACGTTCTCCTTCTCCAAAGTATCTCACATACACTTTATTAAGCTTGGGTGTCCCTTGCTCTCCATAACCAAAGGTCTTCATCTTTCTACATCCATATAACAGTAGCCTCTCCAATGCTGGGAATTCAATAGTATATGACCCAGAGCTAAAACAAGTGAGGTTGTCTAGACTTCGAAGTATCAAGTTGTACAAACTAGGAAACATTATCCTCTCTATTGATGCTTCTTTTTCTCCTTTCTCATTTGTGACTATTTCTTGTAATCTTGAGCAACTCCATAGATGAAGATATTTGAGCTTCACCAAGCATTTGACAATGGAAAGGCTAAAGAGGTTTTTTAATTCAAGACACCAAGATATGTCCATAGAAGTCAGGTTTCCCAAACTTGGGGAGGTTATGGTGCGTTCTAACTCCTCATCCAAAGCTTCTTTCTTCTCAAAGATCTCTTCTAAATTATGGCAATATACTATATTTATTTTTTCCAGACAAATAAGGCTTTGGAGTAGAGTTGGTGAAAATATTTTTGTTAACTTATTGCATGACTTAAGTTCTACATCCTTCAAGTTACGAAGGCTTATGGATTGATGGTCACCCTTCCATATATGTGACAACTTTGGCAACCATTCCAAATTTAGATACTCTAACGATGAGAGTAACTTGGCTTCTCCCTCTGCAATCTTAATATCTTTATAATCAAATATATACACCAATGATCCGCAATCATATGCCTTGAAAGTTTGAAGGTTTTGACAGCTCTGTAACAAATGACATGGTAACATGCTATAGAGATACTTTATCTCATGACATGATCTAATGTTAAGATACTTCAATTCATTGAACCCATCTTCAACTAGGTTGTGGCTAATACTCTCTAAATTAGTAGTTTCCTCCAAAAATAGCAACTCAGTTCTTTTGAGCAAACCTTTAACCCAGTCATGTAATTTTGAAATGTTGGTTTGTGAGACACACATATTTCTTGAGTATCTACTCTCATACAATTCAAAATCAGTATATTCACTATAACCAATTCTTAATTTAAAGTTGGACAGGTTATTTTGGAATACCAATAATTTTGATGAGAGGTCAAGATTTGGAATATTAATCTCTAAATGAGTCAATCGAGACAAGACTTGTAACTCAACAAGATTGGCATTGCTTGTCAAATTTTCACTTTCAAATTCCCAGCGCCTGAATGTATAAATATACAACTCCTCTAACTTTTTGAGAGAGGGTGTAACACTGTAAGGTATTAGTGTTAACTTCCAACAATCATTCAAATCTAGTTACCTAAGATTACTTAATTGGCTAAAGGATACAGAGATCTCTTCAATAGAAGATTTGAAAAGGCTAAGAATCTCTAGTTTTCTTAGCTTTCCAATTACTCCTATGTCACCCAACATGCAACCACTAATATATAATGTTCTAAGATTTGAAAGAAATGAAAGCGAATCAGGTAGTGACAAGAGAGTGAATCCACTCAAATCTAAAACATTAAGATTCTTCATTCCTTGAAAGAAATTTCTAGGAAAAAAAAAATTCAGAACTGCCTTGCAACATCAAAAACTGTAACTTTGGGCATTCTAACTCATTAGGTAGCTCCATATTATTATTTGACATCAATGAGATACATGTGACATCTTTATATGTATTTCTATTTGTCCACTCTCGTAGACCAATGCCAGCCTTTACCATGAATTGATGGTTGTATTTAGGAGCTATGTTTAATGCCAAATCTCGCACTACATCATACATTTTAACATACTCTTCACCATCATCAATTAAGAGAAAGGAAGAAGTGATGGTACTTACAATAGCGTGAACTCTGTCTTTGACATCTTCTATCGTCTCATCAACGTCGTTAAACCACCTCCGACCAATCGCATATCTCACTAAAACTTCAATTGGAATTTTGTAATCCTTTAGAAATAAGCTACAAAATAAGAAAAGTGATTTTGACTCTACTTTTTCTAGATAATGCAAGCTCAGTTCCAAAGATGAAAATAAGATCCCCTTCACTCCTGGGATGTTAGATAGGTTGTACTTTTGAAGTTGTCGTGCCGCATTGCTCCACACATGCTTGTTCTTGCCCTTTAAAGCTCCTGCTATTGTCACAATTGCAATTGGCAAGCCACCACATTTAGTAGCTATCTCTCTTGCAATAGAGTTTATGTCGGAAGTTTTGACATTTAAGCCTACAATCTCGCTGAAAAGTACCCAAGATTCTTGTTTTGATAAAATTTCAACTGTATGTATCTTTTGACACTCCATTTGAATACATATAGTTTTGCTTCGAGAGGTGATTAAAATTTTACAACCTCTATGGTCACTCCCAAAAGGAATACCAATCTCATCCAATTTAATTCTTTCCCAAACGTCATCTAAAATAATAAGGATCCGTTTCTTCTCCTTGATTCTCTCCCATAGGAAACTTGCTCTTGCTATTTCAGAATTAGCCGGCAAGAAGTTTGTTATGCCTAACATGTCAGCAATATCGCCTTGAATCTTCATAACACTAGGGGTTTGAGAGACAACTGCCATCACAACTGCCATCATACATTTTAGCTTCTTTTACATGTTGGCTGATTTCTTTAACTAGTGTGGTTTTACCCACACCCCCCATTCCACATATTCCAATTATGCTGACACTGTCACCATCAATTAAGGCCTTCATAACTTTCTTCTTGATTGAATTTCTAGATTCAAAAGGGCCAGAATAAAATACTTTAGATGATGATATAATTCCAGATGGAAGAGCAGGACAAGACACGCTCTCAAACTTTCCCACTTCCTGGAGCTGATCAATCACCAGAGTATGCTCCTCTGCCTCCTTACTGAATCGGTAGCGTTGTCCGAGATTAATGCACCATCCTTTGAGACACCTCTTGTTGGCTTTGTCTTCATCTTCAAAAGACTTTTCAGCTTTTTTGGAAATATTATCAGCTTCAGCTATCCAACTTTGAACATCAACCAAGATGATTTCTCCATTTCTTTTTGCAGATTCTATTTTCAGTTGCACATTGTCTTTGCTATCTGCCAGCTTCTTAGCTTGCTTTTTCAAGTTTTCAATGTTGTCGTTGTAATAAAACAAGTAACCAAGCTCATGGCGAGCTGCATCAAATAGACTGTCTGCGACCTTCCCAGCGATTGAAGAAACAATTTGCTCTGCCATATATTTTTTTTTTTTTTTGGAATTCTATTTGAGTGATTGAAGGTGAAAGAAAGATAATATAGATGATTTCAAAAAAGGGTATTTAGGAGAAATTTTTTAAGTTAGTTTGTGACGAGGAGGATGAACGCAGAATAAGAACAGAGAAAAGTTTGAGCAAAGAAAAGTGATTTATATGAAGAAGGAAAGCATGTAATTCATCCTGAAATTTTTTGAATAATTCCATCATCTGCCTTCGCTGCCAAGGCTGCTTGGTTCCATCCTTGTTACAACATCATTCTTTACTTTTATAACATCTTAATGCGTCAAAATCTATAACATGTCAAGGCTGCTTGGTTCCATCAATGATGTTTCAAGTTTATTGGATGCTATCAATCAATATGTACTTAGATTTCAGCTTGAACATGAAGAATACAAAATCAATTTTATATACATTCTTCTTCAATCTTATCAATCACTTAAAGATTTTTATACAAATGAAATATACAAGTATAACAAGATATATATTTAAAATCTACTTCATGTAAACTCTTTGTTAAACCACTCTGATAATATATTATTTGCGTTATGAAATGATAAAAGTAAAAAAAGAAAAGCATAAAAAGAAGACAGGAATATTTATATGAAATAAGAAATGAGAAAGGTTGCAGCATAAAGCAACGAAAGCAAATTCTATGAAGAAGGAAGGTATGTAATGCATCTTGGAAATGAATGATTCCATCCTTCGCCTTCGCTCCCAAGGCTGCTTTTCTTTTATAACATGCTAATGTGTTAGATGAATATTTCATGTACTCAAAATCAAATGCAGATATATTATATAGTTAAATTATATGTATAAATATTCTTGTCCTCAAGAAGAGGAAATCAATGTTTATAGAAGCAAATCTATTACGCACAACCAACTTTATCATACTTTTGGCCAGAGTTAGAAATGTCTCTCATTCCATTACCATACTAACGTCAAAGAATGACTTATAAAATTATCGTGTGTTATATAACCAAAAATGTCAATATTGTCTATGTCATCCACATCAATAACAATAAAGAAAAAGAAGGAACGTTAGCTATCACATTTCGTCACTTCTTTCGCTCTTCTACAACTCAAGAAGCTTTCCTTTCTTGTGTTATAATATTAGGAACAAGAGTTAATGAATTATTCCCACTAAGATAAGATTTAGTAACGAAAAAGTTCCTTTGACGTTTCATAATTTAAGTTTTAGATGTTAAAATCAACAGAACAATTTGATAATATTTATTAATCCATAATAGTATAAATTTTAACAGTTTACTAATAATTCATCGGAAGGATTTCTGTTATTTTAAAAATCTAAGAGGAATTTTTATTATTATATCATATCTTAAAATAATTAATATCCTTAAGTCTACCAACAATGAAATTACACAATTCTCAATTATATAATAAAAAATTGAATGGAAATAACCACATTTGGATGGCTGGGTGGTCAATTAGGACTCTTAGGTATATTACTCAAGAGATCTTGAGTTCAATTCCCTCAATTGTAATAGAGGTGGCCACCGAGAGTTTACTTGATCCTTAACTTCAGGCCTTGGGAGATTAGCAAACGAGAGTTTAGTCAAACTCGATCCTTAACTTTAGGCCTCAGGGGATTAGCGACCGAAAGTTTAGTCAATCCTTAACTTTAGGCCTCGGGGGATTAATCAAGTTACACGCAAACTGGCTCGAATACTCCCGATCACCAAAAAATAAAATTGAATGGAAATGATGAGTTTTAAACCATCACACCAGACCACTAACAAAAAAAAATATTGATTCTCATTCAGTCGTAATAGTTTTTTTTAATGTCTTTAAAGTTGGGATTTAAAGAAATTCTTGTGGGTGTGTTTGGATCGGGGGCATATAAGATAACGAGGGTAATCTTCATTTATTTTGCAAGATTTCGATGTTTGGTTTGCAAGTAATAAACTATTATGAGTATCTTTTAGTGCAAATAGTTTATTGTTGGTAATATTGGGGGTAATAATATACCCTCCCCCAGACTGTTATTAAAAGATTACAAGTAATCTGATTTTTATATATATTTTGGCCTTAATTAAATACAATTTCGGACATAATTGCCCTCAAATGTCTACCAAATAACCATTATCCAACCCTTTACATTTGAGAATTTAGCTGAAACACCACAGCCACAAAAAAGTTTAAAATTTAACAAAACACCCCCAGCCACCCAAGCTCACCGTTGGCCGCTGGCCACCATTGTCGGTCGCCGATGTTAGTCACCGTAATGGTGCACGACCGGTGGGATCTGGTCGATCTCATGCCGTTACGGCCTTTTTCGACCATATCTGGCCAGAAATGGCTTTGTCGACGCGCGACCTACCATATACAGCCAGTCGTGTGCCATTCTGTCGACTTCTGATGGAGACTAGTGGTGGTGGCTAGCTACCGGCAATGGCTTGGGGTGATTTTGCTACAAATTAAAATTTTATATGGTTGGGGTGTTTTAGCAAAATTTCAAATGTATGGGGTTAAAAGAAATCATTCAAAAAAGAACAATAAAAATATTAATAAAAAATAAGATTATATTAATATTTAAAAATGAGGGAAATATAGTAATCTATATAACATACCAACCCATTTATCTTCCCAACCAAACATATTACTCACCAATTTATTCGAACCAACTAAACATATTTTCTAAACATTTTCAGTAATCTTCAAGGTGATCTATCTTTTCCTTAATTTAATACCCCTCTATAATAAAATATTATATGATCCAAATGCCACTTGTGGGTATTATGGTGGAAGGTTTTAGAGGAATTGCTATGGTTGAAATCAGTGAGGTGGATAGTCTCATTGACACTGTTGCCACTCAGTTTCTAGTTCTGGACTGCGTGGTGGTTTGGGTTTTATTTTGTTTGGTTTTGGGGAAAATGGAGTTAAATATCAATTTAGTCCCTATTTTTTTTTTTGTTAATTTTCAATTTAGTGATCTCCCCTACTTTTAGTAAACTTTAATTATCCCCCTAGTTTGAAAATTATCCCTAATGTTCCTTGTCGTTTGTTAAGGAATGTTAACAACATTTTCTTTTTTACTCTTGCACTTCCTTCTTAATAGTGTGTAAAGACCAAACAAAAAAAAAATAAAAAAGGTGCATGTTTGTACTTTATAATATAAGTAATTATTGTTAGTTATATAGGTGGTGATCTGAATACCACAATTTTCTTAAGTATTATGAGATTTCTTGATAATTTTATTTTTGTTACAATTTTACCTCTTATTAATAAAATTTTAGAATAGTAATGTCTTTGTTATCTAAATAATTTATAAGAATATTCATGGACAATTTTAGCCTTATATACAAGATTGTTAAGCCATTATTACCTTTGTACTCAACCAAATTACCCAAGACCACAGCCAGATTTGGCCACACCGATCGTCGGCCATCACCATAGGCAATCGCTAATTCGCCGGTCATGCGCCGATCTAGCTGTTTTCAGCCAAATCCATGGCTGTTAATAACGGCCAGATCTATCTGGCCATTAACGACAACCAAAGATCTTACCATTGTTAATGCCACAACCGGCCGTAGCGGCTGACTGTGGCTTGGGTGAGTGGGGGTGATTTTGTTAAATTTTAAAGTTTATTATGGTTGGGTGTTTTAACAAAATCTCAAATATAGGATGTTAAAATATAATAATAATATTAAAAAAAAAAAAAAAAATTCAGTAGTCTATATAACATACTCGCCGATTTATTCCTCTCAACCACATATCAATATAACATATCTACCAATTAATTTTAATCTAACCAAACACATCTAATATAACATTTCTAGTAATTTCAAGGTAATTTATCTCCTCATTAATATAATATTTCTAGTATTATAACATTCTCTGAACCAAACATATCCTAAACCAAACACACCTCGATAGATAACAAGGGCATTACAAGAACACATAGATAAAATATCTTCAAAATCATTATCAATTGATTCCTAATTCATTAGTGAGGATTTTTTAAATCCTATAATATTAATCCCAAAAAAAAAAAAGGGTTAAAGCAACAATCGATACTTGACGAATGAACCAAATATATTTTTCAATCAAATGTAAATTTAACCCTCTAATATTAATGTAAATTTTCATTTTTAACTTCTACGCCGTTGATAAAAGGGGTGTTAAGTGAATAATTTTCAAAATTGTGAGGTTAGAATTAGACTTAAACTAAACAGGATACTACAAAACTTAAGGGTTATTTATTATATTTATCAAAACATTCGTCTCTTTATGTATTTGCAATGGCATTTAGCATTTTCCTTTCCTTAAAGGACCTTAACAAAATCCACAAAAACACCCTCTTCAATTCATGGCTTTGAGAGCCGCATTTCGTTCGTCGTCATTCTCTCAAACCCCATTTCTGAAAGGTAATGTTTCATTTTTATTAACTCCCTTGCAGAACCTCACAACTTCAAGCTCCAAAAATGAACTTTTATCTTCTTTCAGGAAAACCCCTCAACAAATCTCACTTGCTGAATTCCTCAAAGAAAATTGTCGATCAGGTAACTTTACTCCGAATGATGCTCTCTACTTTTTTGATTACATGATTAATTTGTTACCAATTTCTGCAATTTCATCATTCGTCATATTGTTTGGTGCACTTGCTAAGAAGAAGCATTAATATGAAGTGATTTCGCTATATAAGAGGTTGAATTCAATTGGGTTGTCTCCAAATTATATGTGTTTGAAAATTTTGATGAATTGCTTGTGCAATATTAAAAGGGTTTCTGATGGTTTTGGGGGAAAATTTTGAAGAAGGGTTTTAGCCCAGATACTGTGACTCTTACGTGTTTGATTAAAGGTCTGTGTATAGAGAAAAAGATTATGGAGTCAAGAGAGTTGTTTAAGAAAATGATTGCTGTTGGTTGTAGGCCTGATGTGATCACTTGCAACACTTTGATGGATTGTGTAAAACAGGGAAGATAAGTGTTGCCATTAAGTTGCATGAAGAGATGGTTAATGG